GCTTGGCCAGTCCCCCGAGTTTCTCAGTAGGCCACCCCTGTAGCACTGAGTTCAAATCCTTAACTGTGGCGAAGCCCAGCACGAAACCTCCTCTAGCACGGCGCATCTCCGTGGGTGAGAATTTGAAATGCTCTCTGAGAGCACGTTGAAACTTGAGGGGAGCAAGGAACTGTTCCTTGAGACCTTGTACAATTAAAGGGAAGTTGTATTTAGGAAGAGACGGCCTAGCTGGGGCTGGGAGCTTGGGGGATTTGGGATTCCTCGTCTTACTTTTTACTGGGGTGAACTCACCCCCATCTGCGGATTCATCGTGAGAAGGGATTGGTATGGTGCGGCCTAGGTAAAGGGCTGAGGGTTCGGAGTTGGTTGGGGGAGTGGTGCATGGGTTGGAGGGTGTAACTGGATGAGGAGATGGGATGTCATCGAGGGATTCGACAGTGATGAGGGATGTTGTAGAGGAGGCAGGGGAAGGACATGGTGAGGGATTGGAAGGGGGTTTTGGAATCTTTTTGGGTCTTGGTGGCAGGGATGACCTTGGTGGGAGAGGGATGCCAGAGCTCCTCAGTAGAGGAGGGGACATCTGGGACTGATGGGAAGTGGTAGGCAGGGTGACACAGAGGATGGAAGCACAGGAGTCACTTGGAATGAGGTGGAGCGAATTAGGATACTATAAGGGGCCTAGGCCCAGGCCTAGGATAGGTAGCTGAGGTCACACAGTTATGATTAGAAGTAGACAATCTAGGCAAAACTGTATGGGGTTGTGGATAAGGAGTAGTAGGCTAAGAGAAGAATGGATACACAGAGAGACACAGGAGCTGAGGGCCTAGGCCTATGATGCACACGTGGTCACTGTGGCGGTCGCCATCTTGGGAAGAGCAACGGCGTACCTAGATGCACGGGGGAGGAATACTGACGCTATGGACGCTATACTACTACAAGATGGCCAGCGGCGTGCCTAGGCGCGCAAGAATACTGACGCTTAGGGATTTAGCAAGAGAAAATTTGGGCGTGCAAGAATAATCATAGGAACAAGAAATAGAAAAGGATAGGAATAACTCAATAAGCTGAGGGGCTAGGATTATGCTTATTTTGAGACTTATCCGTTTGGATGCGAGGGTTGGTATGGCTGGTGTGAAGGTCCGTCCTGGTAAGGTGGATCCAGGAGTGAGGTGCCACAGGTCAAAGTTCGCAAGATAGCAAGGAGCTCACAAGTTACAAGAGAGGGTGTAACGCCTCTATCTTAAAAAAGTGAGACAAAAACTATCGCGAGAAAGGCACTGCACTGTGCGGACTTGGGAAAAACGGGTCCGCGCGCGAGCAGAGTGACACACAACCTCACAGGTCAAAGGCCAAAACGCAACTCCTACCCACCGCTCTCTCCCTCCTCCTCTCTCACTCTCGCTTGCATTCATGCCGGCTCTCATTCTTTCTCCGTGGCGGGAATGAAGGAGGAAAGCAGGAAAAAGGGAGGAATGAGGAACAAGTTGGACAAGATCTCAGAAAGCTAGAGAAAAAACACCGTTTGTCAAGCTGAAGACGGCTCTCGGCGTACCTTCCAAACCATTTTTTGTGCCAGTTTAAACACCTAAAAAATTACTCTAGCACTAACGCATGGGAATGGCGTGTGGCGTAGCGAGAGGGAGCTATAACTTTCCAGCTTTCGACTTAATGTATAAGTGTATGTACGGTAAAAACATATAAGTTCGGACCCCATAAAACAAATTTTTCTAAAACAAAATATTTGCGAGGTGATACTCGGTTTACCCTGAGGATTACCCCGCAACACACATCGAGAAGTCCGAAAATTCCGTAATTCTAGCCCCCCCCCCCCC